CAAATAAAGAAATTCATGCCTTTCAAGTCAACATCTAACACTACTCATGCTTTACAAAAATTTCTAAAATATATTTCATACTTTCTAATCACAAAATTTAGCACTAAGGCACAAAGGGCATAAAATTATCATCAATTAGGCATACTTCATCATCATATATCAAATAACACATAATCACATATTTTGCACAACACATAAGTAATATTGCATGAAATTTTCACAAATTAAGTATGTTAAATCACAAATTTTGAGGAATTAACTCACAAAAACCAAAGAGATTGTATATTAGAAACCCCTACCTCAAAGTAAGAAGAAAAGCCCCAATTTATGCCCAAAATCCGAAATCCCTAAGGTTGGCCAAATGGTGATTTGCTCCGATCAAAACGAAGATCTTGACGAGCTCTCTAACTTGCCTCAAATGACACTATCAAATTCTCAATAACGAACTCTGGATCAAAGCTTGAAATTTGAGTAAAAAAAAAATGAGAGAAGAGAATGAGAGAGAGAGGCGTGAGATGGAGAGAGAAACTGAGACCATAAAATGGCCTCTTGGCCAATTAAAATGGTTAATTGGTGGTAGGTCCCACCAATGAGTAAAAATCCCACCTTTTTTTTAAACATTATTATATAATTATATACATTTATATAAATTAAACTACAACCACTCAATTTAACACACCACAATAAAATTATGCATAAAATAACAATACATGAAATGTAATGGACCCGAGACACAACCCTCGTACACAACAACCCCAATAACGGGTCCCACCTGAAACCTTCCGGCCCGAAAACGAAAAAATGCCGAAATGGCAACCAGTGCATTCTAAGAGTCCTGAACCTAAGGAAATGTCCTACCTAATTCTCAGATACACCCGGCACACCCCATGGTGTCTAGCACGCTAAACGAGAAAAGACAAAAATACCTTTAAAAAATCAAAAAATTTTGAAAAATAGAAAATGGCGAAAAACAGAAACATTACACTATGTTTATCGATTTTTCGTTTGCTATCCAATGGTATGCACCGTCGCATCCAGTTTTATTTTGAAATGATCATTTTACCCCTAGTTCTATATTTGGTCTGTTTTAACCTTAACTTCTGCATTCGTTTTCTATTTGTGTGTCGTGACTTCTTACAAGGTCACTTTGTTATCTTAGAGGTGGTGTCCATCTCTAGAGATCTCTTCTCTTTTCTTACTTCGGCGTTTCGAACTCGTTATTGAGTTAATTTTTAGATTACTTGTTGACGCACCGGGTTATTGAAATTCTTGCCGTCACATAATTTATATCTAAACTCATTAAACCGCCCAAATACCTTCATTAAAATTTAATTATTTGGGCACCCAAATTTAAGTATGTCAGTCAGTAATGAATAAAAAGTGAGTACTCATACAATTCAAGGGTCAATGATAGGCTAAAAGTGGATACCCATCTTAACCTGCTCAAACAAAATCCTCTTTCTCTTTTCAGTGTTAACTCTCTCTCTCTCCGGTCTCCTCACTCTTTAACTTCATATATATATATATATATATATATATATATATATATATATATATATAAATTTATAAAAAAATATAAAATACAAATGGGAAGAATACAATAATATAATTTTATTAATATAATAATTCCCTGCAAGTGTTGCGAACTTGCGATGGCGCAACATATGGAGAAAAATCCTCTCTATTCGCATCTCATTGGAAAGTGTCCAGTGGTGGGTCCCTTGGCTGATGTGGCAAAGGTGGTAAAATGGGTAAGTACTGTAATTTTTCTTATACCATTTATGTACATACTTATTTATAATACTCCATATCTTCTACCTTTCTGTACATAATACATCATTTCAGTTTCAATTTGAAATTCCCCCTAAAACGAAAATTGAGCTTGCCCCCAAAACTGCCATAGATATATTGATTCTGAAATATCTCTTTCTCTCTCTTACATCCAAACTGAACTCCATGATCAAGTGCAACCAAGAAACAAGGCAAGCAAGACATAAAGATAAAGATTTTGGAAAAGAAGAAGTTGAATGAGGATATTTTCTGGAAAGCAAAGGATCTCCCTGTTCAAAGAAGCTCTAAGAAGGGGAATCTGACATTTTCTTGAAGGCAAAGGATCTCCCTCTTCAAAGAAGCTCCGAGAAGGAGAAATTCCCCCAAAAAAATTTCAGTCCGGCAAGAAGTTGAAGCTCTAATCATCTAGTCCAGTGAGAAGTTGAAGCTCCGATTATCCAGTCCGTACATCTTCTCTATGCATGTATTATTGTATCTTTCCAAAATCGTATTTGAGTTTCAATTTTGAATTTTTCCCCAAAAGGAAAGTTGACCTTCCCTCAAAACTCTACTATATATATACCATGCCTAAAATATCAAATAGGAAATTCCTTTCTGAAATTTGAAATTCGGTAAAGAAACTCTCCCCAAAACTCTACTATTTATGTTTATGTATAAAAAACTCTCTTGGTGAAGGTCGAAGAGGCATAGCAAACAAAATGAGATCTAGTTGGAAAAATCACCATATATTTCGGCAATAAGCTAAAATTTCTGCAAATGAGAGATTCCCCCAAAATATTTCTGATAGCTCGACGAGAAGCTGAAGCTCCGATCATTATAAGTATTAGGTTGTTATTTTGAATTTGTTATAACTTTATTCATAATGATATATCAAAGTTTATTTTATATTAGTGGTGATTTTATTTTTGTAACAGCATACAGATCAATTTATTATATTCATAACTTATTTAAAACATGTATCATGTATGAATTACATATTACATCAACATATTTTCCTAACACGTTAAAAAAATTATCTTCCATAACTCAATTTCACAATTTCTAAATTAATAATAAGAATCACAAATTTTTTCAATATATATGTAGGAAGATTTGCATATTGCATCACCTACTTTTTGTAACAACATACAATACAAAAGTTGGAGAGATCAAATTATTATTATCACAACTTTTTTTTAACATGTATCATGTATGAATTACATATGGCATCAACATATTTTCCTAACACAGTAAAAAAAATCAATTTCTACATCAAATTATTATTATCACAACTTTTTTAAACATGTGTCATGTATGAATTGCATATAGTATCAACATATTTTCTTAACACGTTAAAAAAAAAAAAAAAAAAAAAAAAAAAAAAAAAAAAATTCAACTTTCACAATTCCTAAATTAATAATAAGAATAACAAATACTTTCAACATATACGTATAAAGATTTACATATTTTATCACTTACTTTTTATAACAACATACAATACAAAAGTTGGAGAGATCAAATTATTATTATCACAACTTTTTTAAACATGTATCATGTATGAAGTGCATATAGCATCAACATATTTTCATAACACGTTAAAAAAATTAACTTCCACAACTCAATTTCATAATTCAAAATCTCAAAATCTATATGATCAGTCAATTATTTCAGAACCTTAAAATCTCAAATAAATTTATATTTGGATACTGAACTGTACCGATACATAATCAATGTTTACTATTTGTAATTTTACTGAAAAGGAATGGAATAAAATATCTTTGTATATAATGTATTGTTATACGTATATTTGGTTGTAGTTTTACTGAAAAAGAATGAAATAAAATATCTTTGTATATAATATATTTTATACATATATTTGGATACGGAACTGATATAGTTTTGTATATAAGATGGGGATTTGTAATTTTACTGAAAATGAATAGAATAAAATATTTTTGTATATAATATATTGTTATGCGTATATTTGTATATAATATATTGTTAAACATATATTTGGATATTGAACAACACCGATATATTGTTGTATATAAGATTTGTAAATATATTTTTGTCTATATAATGTATAAGTATATGTTGTATAATTGGATTACGATTTGACTACTGTATTAGTACATCTGGTGAAAAAAAAAAAAAAAAAAAAAAAAAAGGCATCAATAACTTTGTTAACTAAATTGCTGAGTGGGCACTGAGTTAGAAGTGATTAGATGATGATGTGGCAAAAAAGGTTGAGGTGGTTTAATCTCAGTCCTTAGATTCTCAATGGATGCTCCAGTGAGAGGTACACTGGAGCAAATTCGGATCCGCAACATATTAGGTAAAACTATTAGGTAAAACTATTTGAATTAATTAATTAATTAATTAATTATATATATATATATATATATAAAAAATATAATATGTCTTCCTCAAAGGAAGTCAGCTTCTGCTGAGGTTAATAAATCTCATCACGAATATATAACAAGTTTACAATGTACGCACGAGTGGCACTACTTAATTTCGTGCCTATAAGTTTGTGGCCTGAAAAATATATATGGTCAAAAAAAATGAAAAAAATTAAGTAAATTGATAAAACAAAATATTTATGAAATTAAGCAAATAAATTTTTTTTTTTCTCGATAAGTCAATTTTTATAATCATTTATCGAATTAAGTTAATATTTGTCTTTTTCAATTTAATATGGTAATTGAGGATAAAAAAATAATAATAAAAAATACAATTTTATTGTCATTTTTAATTTGCTGGCAGTTGAAGTCAACATCAGAAGTTTGCCATCACAAAAGTTCCCTTTTGCAAAAATGAAAAATAAATAAATAAAAATTAATTACTGGTTGGAACGAGTTGATCTATTTTGACCTGTCGAGGGAGTATGACTTTGGAAGGATCTACAATACCTCAATGATTTGTGCTGCAAACGTAAGGAAATCGAAATTATTGTAGTCAATGAAGCTTTCACAATCCTGAATAGCAATACTTCGTCACCATTACCGCAACGGGACCCCCAAGAGATGGCCAAAATGAAGTTCCTTCACAATTTTCACACGGCAAAGAGAAGACGACAACAACCAAACTTGTTATGGGGCTTGATAGAAATTTAAAACAAAAAGTGACCATGAAAGACAGGACAATATATTTTTTATGGAGAGAAATCTTAATAAAAAATAAAATTAATTACAAATTTACACTAAAAAATAAAAATTTGAAAGAAAATTCCTAAATCACAACCATTTTAGACGATAGAGAATTCTATTAAAGAGGGTGCAGAAAGTAACACTTTTAGGTATATAATTGTAGTGTCTGTCACTCAATGCTAGAAGGAACTCCAATGGCTCTCCTTCAATGGCTGAAGGAAGGCAATCTTTCCTCGTTAATTTTTGCGTCCCTTTTTCTAGTACTGATATCAAAATTTCTCTGCAACTTCACGAGAAAAAAACTCAATCTCCCACCAAGTCCTCCAAAGCTACCGATCATTGGCAACCTTCACCAGCTGGGAAAAAATCCCCACATATCTCTATACCACCTAGCTGAGAAACTTGGGCCCATTATGCACTTGCAACTTGGTGAGATTCCAACAGTTGTGGTTTCCTCAGCTAGAACGGCGAAGGAAGTGTTGAAAACCCATGATCTTGCACTTGCAAGCCGTCCCGAGATCTTTTCTGCCAAACACCTTTTCTATAATTGCACTGATATTGCCTTCTCCCCGTATGGGGCTTACTGGAGGCAAATACGGAAAATTTCCATACTTGAGCTACTAAGTACCAAGCGTGTCCAATCTTACAGCTTTGTGAGAAAAGAAGAAGTTGCTCGCCTGGTTCATCGTGTTGCAGAATCATATCCTGGCACCACCAATTTATCCAAGATGCTTGGACTGTACGCAAATGATGTCCTCTGTCGTAAAGCATTTGGAAGGGATTTTTCAGCAGGAGGGGAATACGATCGACTTGGGTTCCAAAAGATGCTTGAAGAGTACCAGGAGTTGCTAGGAGGATTCAGCATTGGAGATTTCTTCCCTTCCATGGAATTTATGCACACCTTAACCGGCATGAAGTCAAGACTCCAGAAAACCTTCAGACGCTTCGACCAGTTCTTTGATGAGATTATCAAGGAACACCAAAATCCAGGGGGTAAAAAAGAAGACAACAAGGATCTCGTGGATGTCTTACTAGAAATACAGAGGAGTGAGGACATCGAAATGCCTCTCACTATGGACAACATTAAAGCAATCATCTTGGTAGTAAAATCTTTCCTTATTCACTGCTTTTCTCTTCAAATTCATTCACATCCATAAAGTAGCATGGTTCAATTTACTGGTGTATTTACTCCCATTTAGCAAAACAATTTGCATGAGACATCCCAATTAAGGAACTGTTTATGTTGTTGCAGGACATGTTTGCAGCAGGAACTGACACAACCTTCATAACCTTAGATTGGGGAATGACAGAGCTCATCATGAACCCCAAAGTCATGGAAAGAGCACAAGCTGAAGTAAGAAGAGTAGTCGGAGAAAAAATATTTGTGTTAGAGAGTGACCTGCCTCAGCTGCACTACACAAAAGCTGTTGTCAAAGAGATCTTCCGTTTACATCCTCCCGCGCCAGTATTACTCCCAAGAGAATCCATGGAAAATATAACCATTGATGGGTACAATATTCCTGCCAAAACAAGGTTTTTTGTCAACGCCTGGGCAGTAGGGAGAGACACAGAATGTTGGGAAAAACCAGAAACATTCGAACCGGAGAGATTCATGGGCAAAAATATTGATTTCAAGGGGCAAGATTTTGAGCTGATACCTTTTGGAGCTGGCAGAAGAAGCTGCCCTGCTATTACATTCGGAATGGCAAGTGTTGATCTGGCACTGGCTCAACTTCTCCACAGCTTTGATTGGGAGCTTCCTCCCGGTATCCAAAGTAAAGATTTGGATATGACAGAAATCTTTGGTATCACAATGCACAGAAAATCTCCTCTAATGGTGGTAGCCAAACCATGGTTTCCGTAAGAATAAACTCTTCAACAAATAAACCAAATCAAAATCAGAAGTTATGTCACTTGAACTCGAGTACGAGTGCTAGTATGTTCAGAGTATCAGATGTGTCAAATAATCATATTGTGTAATATTTTCTTTCAGTTTCTAAAGTAAAATAACACTTTTATGTAACATAGTGTTCAAAATAGAAATTTAACTCACTTTGAAGCAATATGCATTTTACGTACATGTCAGACTAAATATGTCAGGCACATATCCCATACCCTTATCCTACTGTTGTGCTCCTGACATGGATGCTTCGCATACTTCTGAAGAGTCCAGATTACATAGATTAACAGTTCATCCAAAATTTAAAAAGTACTCATCCAATTAGTATTATTCATTGCATAAATAAAGAGGAGAACCAGTAAAATGATGCATAGTTAAATAAGATTTAACTGTTAACCATTTTCCTTTTTACTTGGAGGATCATGGAGCTTATCAACAATTCTAATGCTCCAAATCCAATGGTAACATGACATTTTCAGTACAGTTAGTGTTCAAGCTTTCATCTTATGAGACCGATTATCCTAGCTACATTACTCTTTCCTACTCGAAGATATAAGCTAGCAAACCAAAAGAAGTAAAAATTTGAAAGGGGTAAAACACATAATGATGTGGTATACCACAGCTTTCATTCCTTCAAGTTACAATGGCTGAAAGTTCACATGGAGAGCTGAAGTGGGCTGGATTGATTGTCTACTTGAACCAACACACCAGCTAATTATTATCTTTATATATATATGCTAAATAAAACATACATTAATAGAAAATTATGTACTCCAAACTAGCTCAGTCAGCATGAGAGCTGAGTTGCATAATGACATCATGACTTGATCTGAAAATGAGTTATCAGTGTCAGAGAAAACAAGTTCTGAAGAACGTTACAAATCACTAAATATGTACAAGTTAACAAGTCGTGTGGATTATAAGAACATGCTATTGGCATTCAAAATCTAGAATTCTGAAAATGATTAATCATATATCATCTTGCAAACCACTAGAGGCTTATCAAAATTGCATGAGACAATTAGAGCATGACAACTTCCATAACCACATGGCAGAATCATGCTCAAAATATGAGTCATATGACTCCATTGACTGTCAGAGTACAAAAAGAGAAGGGTCCTTAATGCTCGGAACCTTTTTGGTCTCTGGTTTGAGTAAGGAGATCTGGAACTGAAATGTCTGTCTCTCATTGTCTTTTTGGTCACAAATACCTTCAGAGTTCATAGTTTAACCATTGACCTTCAGTGAGACCTTAAATCTTCAAGATAACTGCCCAATTGCTGAGCCCCAACGAACATGGCATCAACTACAAGAAAGACTCCAACTCGTGACAGAAACAATTAGATTGGAGATTATTCTCGAGGGAAACCAGACTAAAGATTAAACAGTGTCATTTTTTTCCTTAATGGCTGGGACGAATTATTACCGGACAAGCAGAGAAAACTAATTGGTAACCCCAACCCTCTGTGGCAGCTGCAACCTTTGTTGGTCGGTCCAACTGACAACCAGGTCATGGCAATTAGTGCATAGATAAAATTTAATTTAATTTTCATTATGTCATTTATGCTAAATTATCTCTGACAGTCACTTATCCTCAAGTATCCAAAGAATATCGGAATCCAACAAAGATAAGACAAGGACATGGCCCCTTATAGAAGCATAGAAAGATTAAGGTCCAAGCATATAAGTTCTTAGCGCAAGTTAACAATGTTTGGAAAAGGATAAAAGTTTAGACTGTAAGTCACGGATAAAAAATAATATTCATAAATATCATATCAGGATATGACATACCTACTAGTAAGGGGGTATGTCCTATGATCACAAGAGTCACAGAAAATTCACCCTCGGTCTGTTAGTTATGTTATTCCACATCCTTTCTCCAAACATTCTATGGATCATTTGCCATTGCCTTTCACGGCCATTTAGAAAACTCGGGATAAAACCACTACACAGTTTGGCTTAATAATAAATGCTAGGTTAGAGTTTTTAATGTCTAGGGTCCAATTCCTTGTATGTATACAGTGCATACACGATCTTGAGTGCATTTGAAGCAAGCATATGAGTTGAACATGACTACATTAACAGAAGGAAATGCAAGATTTTCACATTGTGAGAAAATACAAAAGAAAATAATCATCATTTTCTAAAAGGAAAAAATAGGATTTGGTTACCCAAGGATCTCTGAAACCCCACCAATCCTGGCAAACTTAAAAGGCTGAGGCCCCCTAGGAAGAAGTGGACGCTGAAGCTTAACCTTCCCTTTCGAGATCCTGCTCCAAATGAAATAGGGCCACATTTTCAACAAATACTTATGTATGAAGAAACATAAAGGACCAGGAAAATAGGATAAAAAAGAATAGGGAACTTCAAACTTCTCTCCATAAACACTTGTACCTCTTCTTCAGCAGCCTCAAGACCCCCAGGAACCCAGAAAAGGTTTCTGTAACCAGAATTGTACAAGCCGCTAGAGATCTGCCTGATTAATGTGGTGTTTTGGTAATTTCATGGATACTAAACGGCTCCAAACTTCCATTAGTTCCCCATACGACTGGAAGCCAAAATTTCATATTCTAGAACAAAGGACACACAAGATATATTGAATTTTTTTGCAAGACTATGAAGCAGAACAGAAATCTAAATACAAAAAGAGTGAGCAACAACATCATTGCTCAAAAATAACAAGATACTGTTGTAAATAAAGCAGACTTGCTAATATAGTAGCTGAACGTCCATCAGTTTAAAGGAAATCATCACCTTAATCGCCAACCTTTAATAGAAATTTGCTATTGGATAAAGGAAAGAAATGAGCAAGAAAGCTATGATGTGATAAGCACAGAATCCACAGATACATGAGGATTACATATCAAATTAAAGAAAAAAAATCAGTTTGTAACATTCTTGTTATAAGATAATGCAGGTATACCACTCCACCAACTTCCTACAGAAGAACATAAGTTTCAATTAAACAACCCTGCAAACTCCAAGAGTAATAATAAAACTAAATTTTTTTATTCTTTAAAAATAAAAAAATAAAAAAATCTAACATATCATGTTGTCAATTGGTTATTATGTTCTGTAGATTCGAATAAATGTATCAGGTACCGTTGTGTGTGTTAGTATCCAATCTTCCAAGTTCACTTGCACGTTTAAATTAGATTATATGTTATATAATAGTATTATATATGAATTTATTGTTTTTTTCAGTATATTACCAATTAATTTGGATTAAATGGGATGGGATGTGATGAAAAAATGGGTTTTAATCTATTTCAAAAGTAGAAAATTCTTCTCTCCTATCAAATTTGAGTTTTTTTCTTCTTCATGGGCTATCACTTATCACACAGAGAATCAGGATCTTTGGTCTGGGCTCAAATGTCAGACACATTTCCCATATAATCATAATGTGTACACTGAGAAGAATTGGAAGGTCCATGTAACACAATCTAATCAATGGCAAATGTACTCTCTTGTTTCTAATAAAAAAAACCCATACTAATATTTTGACTGACTATTCATTTAATTATCAGTAAACCGTTAATTAATTAGAAAGATAAGACCAATGTCATAATACCAAAAGAAGAAGAGAATTGTATGAAACCCATAATGAAATTTGTGACTCTTCTGGAGAGAATTCCAGCATCAAATCTATGATTAACGTCAAAGATCGGAATCCAGTTTGAGGCTTTAGCCCATGCCTTCAAACAAGAGCTACAGTTATGAGAAGTTGAGAACACCATAATGAAAGTGGAAAGAGACGATGTGGTCAAATTAAGTATACTTAAAGGAGAAAAAAAAAAGTAAAACTAAGAATTTCAGAAATATGCTTTCAATGAAAGTATGACATCTGCCATCCATGTTCACAAAATATGCTTTCAATGGAAAAGGAAAATTGAGAAGGAAAAGCGTTCACCTTTTTATGTTCAGTAGAGGGACGAAAGTCGAGTAGCGTTTTGTTGGAGAGTTTAATTACCCAGCTTCCCTTGGTGTGAGAACTATGAATTTTTTTTTTTTTTTTTTTTTTTCCTGAGCTATGGTAAAACAGATTTAGAAAACCAAAAAGGAAAGCCAACATACACAATCCAAAATGTTATAAGCAATAAGAGAAGCAGTCTGATTAAGACCATATGCAGTACATCATATGCATGCAGAATCTTGAGAAAATCCAGAAACATTCTGTAACGCCCCAAAAGGATACCAAAATAATAATAATAAATATATAAAATTTCGGCATGACCTCCGCAGAAAAAGTCCTTCTACAACCTGTTAAAATACAAAAAATAATGCAATGGCCTCACTCGGCCTTAAAACTAACATATCATGTCCCGACGCACAATACAATAATATACAACATCTCCAAAATCAACATATACATATAAAATGTCCCATTCCTCCATCTCATCCAAACAAGGAATCACTTTAATTAAGTTACAATCCATGAAATATTTTTATTTACACAATTTCTACCATTATAATACTATACGAGTTACACTGAATTTTTATAAAAGGTACATGATCATTGTTTCTATACAAAAGATAACAAAATAAGAGTTCTAGTCCAGTCTTAATTTACGGTGGGTCGTTGCCCGCCCCTTCTTTTCTCAAACCTAAAAAATGTTAAAATAATAGGGTGAACATAAAGCTCAGTAGAAAGTGTCTAAGATACACCTCTTACGACCTCGTGAATCCATGCAAAGCATAGGGTAAAAGTAAACGAGATCATATCAATCAAAAAAAAATTCAACAATGACAACAATATCATAAAATTCACAAAACAGGTCATCCAACCATATATATACAATGCATGCTAATGCAATGCAATATCATGCCAACGTCACCCCCCCCCCCCCCCCCCCCCCCTCCCCCCCATTTCTGAAACAATTCCGTTTCAACTTCCAAACCGTTAGTGTAATTCAACCTAAGGCACTTCCAAGGCGTCACGAAAGGAGGATTGATTAACTATCCACGACCACAAGGCACTTCCAAGACGTCGCATCCAGCCTAGTTAACTCAACCACACTCCCTTCTAGATTACACTAACATCGCGGACCACTAGGCGCCTCCTAGGCGTCCGGTTTTTGCAAACATTTTTAGGAAAAAAATTTCCCAAAACAATTTCACTTGTTTTAAAACGTTTTTCCCCCTTTTTCCTTTCTTAATGAATACATGAATGCCTCATGCTTCATAATTATTATGCCAACAATGAAAATTCGCATTAGTTACCGAGTAATAACCACATACTTATACATCATGCTTTCAAATAAACAATTCATCATATAGAATATACCATGGCACGAATTTAATATACTTTTCATCATATCATCACAAGAAACATGTAATTGAACTAATATTCATATAATCCACATAATCACATAGAACCTTAAATGCATGAATTGAATAACCAAATTAAACATGCTTAGGGGCAAATCCAGAGGGAAATTTCACTAAAGCCAAAGAAAATATAAATTAGAACACCCCTACATCAAATTTGTAAAAAAACCCTCAAAATGGGTCTCAAATTCGAAATCCCTAGAATGCACAAATGCTGAAATTGCTTACACCCACTTGTAGATCTCGCCGCACTCTCCGTTTTGCCGCAAACAGCACCCAAAAATTCTCAAAATTGAGGAAGAATTCAAGGATTGAATATGTGAAGAAAAGAAAAAAGAAAAATGAGAAAGAGAAGAAGAAAGGGAGAGCTTACAGGAAAGAGCAAAGAAAATGAGACCAAATGTGGTCTTTTGGCCACCAAATGGGTTAGTGGTGGGTCCCACCACTTCCAATAATCCCACCTTTTTCCTTTTATTTGCACCACAAATATATACACAATTTATAAACATTACATTCTACCCTCCTTAAAAGATTTCGTCCTCGAAATCTACCCTCCTTAAAGAAGGAGACTCATAGCCGCATACCTTCCCAAGAAACTTCACAAAACCCCGAGACTAAGAACTCAACAACCTTATTACCTTTGACACCCGATGTCAATAGGCAATCACACACTGACATTAGAAAAACCCCATGCTCACCACCCTATGAGGGTACTCATCACTCACAACATCATAACACCAGACCATCTGGTACGCCCTACACTATACCCGACTCAAAACGGACATCGGTCCACTGTACGCTGCTACAAAAGACTTCGGAACTCGAAAGAAGAACGGTCACAGGACCCTTGAACATGACAACATCCTATCTCAACTAATCCTTTAAAGGACACACAAAATCCCAGACAAGGAACCCCATCCATCATACAATTAAGCTCAAACTCAAATCCACACATCTCTGTTAAACCAATACTCGCCATCCAACACACAGCTACACCATCATATATTGGTACAAGCGACCACCAACCGCAACATTTAGTAATCATTACACTTAACAACCTAAAGATGACCTAACAATAATTCTCCAAACAACTGTATAAACATGAATCACTAGAACAATAAAACATATTATCCGGTATCCTAAACACAAATCCTCAAAACGAAATTCTCAATAATCAATTATTGTACCACAAACCCTTTTATCGGACGCTTAGTCCTACCTAGCACACCTCATCACCCGAGACAAACCATCTGAATCCACCCTGTCACATCGACACATCGCGGAACACTGTACTCTCATTGTTCCTAACAAACTAAAATAATCATGGACCTTTGACCAGACATCATGCTAAAGAGGGACTGATTCAGGAGAAATGGTTGGCCAGGCCATTCTCATCCTCAATCCGATCTCGGCACAGATGTCGTTCCTGTCCTCAGGTCCAAACCTCAAATACAATCTCACACAGTCCACAAAACAACAATGAGATCCATTCACTATCAATCCATCGTGCTACGTAATCCTTAATAGCTATACAGTCACATACCTACTCTAAAAGTCCCAATCATACCTCAATCATACAACCCGTAACAAGCTAAAAACAAAACAGCACTAAACGTCACAATCATCAACCAGTATATAAGATCTCTCATTTTCTCTAAACACCCATACCAAGTAAACAACCCCATGTCATCATTCAATTTAATTCGTACCTATTCAAAACACAAAATACGACCGTCTTATACCTAAAACTTCAAAACCAAAGCCAATCATTCCTATTATTCCTCAATAGAATCACATATTCACCTTCTCTAATCACGTAATTCTAAGACAACACCAACAATTGTCCTCGAGACATTGCTCGAATTAAACGCCTATAAAAACATCTGAGTACATGACTCACATCACATCACCTCCTCGAACTTACAGTTCACAACACACCCCTGGCCATCACTGATGGAACCTGACACTGAAAACGCCACCCTATTCGGCAACTCGTGTCGTCAAACCACTCTCAAAACAAGCACTACAAAGAACCAATGACTTTATCTCCCTTCGTATGAGTGAGTCGACCAAACCAACCAAACCTTTACCAATGAAATCAAACAACATAACAAACCACACACAGGTCCGTCCACCCACGGACGCGCACCATTACTAAATGGAGAACAAGGCTCACGACAAACGACGTCCTTGCTAGGACTAGAACAAACAGAACAAACGGAAAGGTAACAAACCCCACTCTCACAAGAGACTGACGACTTGCACCTAAATGCACCCGACACCTTGTCACACGCTACACACCAATTGTCCAACCATGGACACCCAATCTCACCTGAGGTGAACTAAACTCCTTACACACAAAGAGAAGAACCAAACGGATACCCATACGGAACTACGAACTCAATTCTAGGCGACCTTGCCACTAACGGTTCATCATACACTATCAACACAGAAACCTCGCATACGACACACCGCGATACCCTTGCTAACCAAAACCAACCAGACAAGAGTACCAACGCTCACGACACACAAACACTAAAAACAAACATAGCCCTTCAGACACCGCGTCCCGTTCCATCTAGAAACCGTCACTCTCAAATGACAACCTCTAAGCCGTAAAATGACACTTTACCACCCATTCCACTTTCACCTTTCAAGGCGACGCTACCTCGAACACCGTGCACACAAAACCCGTGACCTTAGTCACAACAACCCACTACTCGCCACAAGAAAAAAAGTGTCTATATGGCAACATCGTCCTTACTGACTCTAAAGACTAAGCCGACCACAATCGTCTCAACTGGCGCACAACCCCATCACCTACCTGACAACATACAACAAACAATTCATAATCCTTAAACCACATTCGGTTCAAACCTTAAACCGTCCTACTCATCAACACTAAACATCTCACTATAACACCTCTATTACCATTCTTCCTGAAGGACAACTCGTACCTCTCATCTCACCAGACCATCAAGCAACTACCAAGTGGTTCTTCCTCAAACATCCTTAGGACAACACCATCGTAACAAGAAAATAAACATTACTTTCGATACTTCCCATAACGACCACTATTTACCATTAGAAAAGAACCTTCATACGGCAATGTCATGCCTACAAACCCTCAAAACAAAATGAGCACAAATCTCAAAATGCTCAACACCCAATTGTCACATCAATACCATCAATGATGCCATCAATCATTAACACTTAACCGACAACATCAAACCACTCTTTCTGAGCGATCTACGCATCCAAACAAGAAAACTTCATACCCTAAGTTCAACATCGTTACTTTTCCTCATTCCCGTTCCTTAAACACATCCTTGGCCTTGATGAAAATCAAATGGGGCTACCAACTAACCTACAAGATCAACCTCGCCCCAATCACTCCAATCATTAGTCTATCTCTTCGAATCCTCAAACAACAAGCACTATCTCCTGATACTCCAGACGTAATCTAAAATACAACCCTAATCCATAGCTTTCAAATTCTAAAACACAATTCATTTGATAACACAATACTCACCAGCTATCACTTCATCCGCAAACAACCAAACACTCTAATGACCCCATACTACCTGCTTCATCGTGTAACCCTGCATTACTCAGCTAAAACTGATCACTATACGCCACTTCAAGACTCTCTCAATAACCATGCCAACCAATAACCCTGCTCATCCACCGAGCCATACAATCAACTCACCGAGAGTCAATTACCCGCAACACACTCCTATAACTCTTCGAAATGTGAATCACTCCTCGACAAACCAGTCTCTAAAACAGACTCCTATAAGACCATGAAATAATCTACATCCGGCAACCGGTCCTAAATCACCATAGACCTATAGAATCCAACAAGTTCCCATGACAGTCAAAACCAACACACTTCCTTAAGCCGTTCCAAAATGCTCGAAATACACATTTACAATCCATAGACTACACTCATGACTCAAACAACCTCACACTCACCACAAACCGACTCGAAGAGAACCTTAGTACCAAACCGGGACCCAAGTCACAAATGCTAACCCCCTAAGGTCATACCTCTGCCCCACAGTGCACACCTGACCTCCACAATCACAAAAACCCATACACTAACACCTGAAACTTGTACGTCTCACCCCAGACATCACACTGTGCTATGCCCCAAGCACTACACCCCAAAAACAAGAAGAAAAATGAAGCAACCATGCATCGAATAGCTCGATCCACGAGCTAAAGACCTACGTCATTAGTTCGCTAAAAACCGACACCCAACAACTCTTGAGCAACCGATCTCCTCGCCTACTCAGGTCAAAACTCACACAACCATTAATGCCGCAACAAGTACTCTACCGTACTAGCAACCATCCCGTACCCAACCGAATATACACACGTGAACACACATACATAATAACCGTACTCCATACTAAGATATAATTGTGTCCCATCATAAAAAAAAAATTAAACACCCCGTCTTTCATTCATTTTATTATTATTATTATTATTTTTATTTTTCTTATATATTTGCTTAAGCATGCCTAAATAACCGTCACAATACATAAGAGACATGCTTGCACCTACCGTGCTTACTACTTGTCACATTAACATTTAAAATAAAACTGCACACACCGTGCCTACCATTTGTCGTTACCACCTAAATCACACTTGTGATCATATCATAATTAATATATTTTCAACTATTTACACATTTCATCGTCATGGCCATATAACACATATTTTAGTAATTAAACACATAAGCATGTGAACACTTAGCAAATAAACATGCCTTTTTAAAACCGTAAACACATAAGCACTTAATCAAATAAGCAGGCTCTCAAATAATAAGCACTTTAACACATAAGCACATAAATAATTCAATCCACCTTTCCCATAATCCTAGGTAGGCCTCTACCCGTCGTCCTAATGGTTTTCGAACCATCGCTCTGATACCGAATTTGTAACACCCCAAAAGGATACCAAAATAATAATGATAAATATATAAAATTTCGGCATGACCTCCGCAGAAAAAGTCCTACAACATATTGAAATACAAAAAATAATGCAATGGCCTCACTGGGCCTTAAAACTAACCTATCATGTCCCGACGCACAATACAATAATATACAACATCCCCAAAATCAACATATACATATAAAATGTTTCATTCCTCCATCTCATCCAAACAAGGAATCACTTTAATTAAGTTACAATTCATGAAATATTTTTATTTACACAAATTTCTACCATTACAATACTATACGAGTTATACTTAATTTTTATAAAAGGTACATGATCATTGTTTCTATACAAAAGATAACAAAATAAGAATTCTAGTCCAGTCTTAATTTACGGTGGGTCGTTGCCCGCCCCTTCTTTTCTCAAACCTGAAAAATGTTAAAATAATAAGGTGAGCATAAAGCTTAGTAGAAAGTGTCTAAGACACACCTTTTACGACCTCATGAATCCACGCAAAGCATAGGGTAAAAGTAAACGGGATCATATTAATCAAAAAAAAATTCAACAATATCATCAAATCCACAAAACAGGTCATCCAACCATATGTATACAATGCATGCCAATGCAATGCAATATCATGCCAACGTCACCCCCCCCCCCCCCCCCCCCCCCCTCTCATTTCCGAAACAATTCCGTTTCAACTTCAAAACCGTTAATGTAATCCGGCCCAAGGCACTTCCAAGACGTCACGAAAGGAGGATTGATTAACTATCCACGACCACAAGGCACCTCCAAGGCGTCGCATCCGGCCTAGTTAACTCAACCACACTCCCTTCTAGATTACACTAACATCGCGGACCACTAGGCGCCTCCTAGGCATCTGGTTTTTGCAAACATTTTTAGGAAAAAAATTTCCCAAAACAATTTCACTTGTTTTAAAACGTTTTTCCCCCTTTTTCCTTTCCTAATGAATACATGAATGCCTCATGCTTCATAATTATTATGCCGACAATGAAATTTCGCATAAGTTACCAAGTAATAACCACATACTTATACATCATGCTTTCAAATAAACAATTCATCATATAGAATATACCATGGCACGAATTTAATATATTTTTCATCACATCATCACAAGAAACATGTAATTGAACTAATATTCATATAATCCACATAATCACATAGAACCTTAAATACATGAATTGAATAACCAAATTAAACATGTTTAGGGGCAAATCAAGAGGGAAATTTCACTAAAGCCAAAGAAAATATGAATTAGAACACCCCTACATCAAATTTGTAAAAAAACCCTCAAAATGGGTCTCAAATTCGAAATCCCTAGGATGCACAAATGCTGAAATTGCTTACACCCACTTGTAGATCTCGCCGCACTCTCCGTTTTGCCGCAAATGGCACCCAAAAATTCTCAAAATTGAGGAAGAATTCAAGGATTGAATATGTGAAGAAAAGAAAAAGGAAAGATGAGAAAGAGAAGAAGAAAGGGAGAGCTTACGGGAAAGAGCAAAGAAAATGAGACCAAATGTGGTCTTTTGGCCACCAAATGGGTTAGTGGTGGGTCCCACCACTTCCAATAATCCCACCTTTTTCCTTTTACTTGCACCACAAATATTTACACAATTTATAAACATTACACATTCAAACCAGAGAGATTCATGGGCAAAACTACAGATTCAAGGGACAAGATTTTGAGCTAATACTTTCTGGAGCTGGCAGAAGATGCTGCCCTGCTGAATTGTGAGTGTTGAGGTGGCACTGGCTCAAGTCTTTGGTATCACAATGCACAGAAAATCTCCTCTGAATGTTGTAGCCAAACCGTAGTTTCCATACGAGAAAACCCATCAACAGATGGAAAATTATAATTTAGTGATAAAAAATTAAACAATGTTACTCTAAAGTACATACGATGTAACCTTCATTAATCCATTTGACTTCTTTTGCTAAAATAAAAAGTACATACCCTACTTAACCCCCGAGACTTTTTTTCTTTCATTTTCATCCTTAATGATCCGTACACGCTGTGTGGTAATAGAAAGAGTACTGGCAAGGGTAAGAATAGGATCAAATTCGACCATGTATTGACTTTAAGCTTCATGATAACGAAAAGCTACACAGATATCTCAAATCATATACAAATTAGATCTGCAATCAAAGGGCTTAAACCATTCCTATATGGTATAGCCATGTTTGGTTTAATTATTTAACAGAATATGTATTTGAAAAAGAGAAATAGTTTTCAAAATATTATATATTTTTGAACAAAAAAAAAAAACTATTCAGGTTTAACTAAAATTCAATTCCAAATTCAAGTGGTCAATTCGGTACTCCCAAACGCAACAATAATGAAATCTTCATTAGTTTAAAAACAAGTGTGGGCTCACACACAAAAGGGATGCGTCTAGTTTTCTGCATTTGAAGGAGCAGTTATTGACTTCAAATATTGTTTAATAATTTAATCACATGCATACACATAAAGAAGTGCTCTAACACACATAATAAGGGATCCGTCTAGCTTTCTGCATCTGAATCTGATGGAGCAGCTAGTGTCTTCATTTCTGTTGCTCTCATGTCTTCCGTTATTATACGTAGCATTCCTCATCAAGACATGGCTCCTCAATACTTCTACTATCAACAAACACCTACCACCTTCACCACCAAAGCTCCCAATTATAGGAAACTTGCACCAACTGAACTTGCCCGCTCACCGCTCACTCCGATCTTTATCTCAACAACACAGGCCTCTCATGCTGATTCACCTCGGCAGCAGGCCAACACTTGTTGCCTCATCCACTGACACTGCTCGAGAGATCATGAAAACATATGATCTTGTCTTTTCAAACAAGCCAAAATCAAACATTGCTAAACGGCTTCTCTACAATTACAAAGATGTGATTATGGCCCCTTATGGTGAATTCTGGAGGCAGATGAAAAGCATTTTTGTACTCCAGCTTCTAAGTAATAGAAGAGTTCAGTCTTTTCATATTGTCAGAGAAGAAGAAACAGCCCTCCTGATGAAGAAGATGGAAGAATCATCTTCTTCATCCTCGCCATTGAACTTAAGTGAAATGTTCACACTGCCAACAAATGATGTGGTAAGCAGGGCTGCTTTTGGTAGGAAGTACAGTGGATGGGGAGATGGGAAGAAGTTTATGCTGCAATTGAAGGATTTCTTGGGGTTGTTGAGCAACTTTGATGTTGGGGACTTCATTCCATGGCTTGGATGGATCAATCATGTCACTGGTCTTTATGCCAAAGTGGACAGAGTTGCAAAAGAGATTGATGAATTCCTGGAGCAAGTAGTTGAAGAGCGTATGAATGTCCTGAAAAGGAAGAGTAATGGCGATGAGAGAGTTGAAGACGAAGGCAGGGAGGATTTTCTTGATATTTTGCTTAGGATCCATAAAGACAATATTGATGTTGATAGAGATTGCATCAAAGCTCTCATCTTGGTGAGGATCTCTCTCCTTTGTGTGTGTGTGTCAAATTAGAAGTTTAATAAAGAACCAGAAAGATACAACACAACACCCACTCATCAGCAAACAAGAAATGTTAATTAAACAATACAAATGAAACATCCGCGTCAGAAAACAGCAAAGGAATAAAAAATAGAAATGAACAGCCGAGGAATACAAATGAAATCAGCAAATATATCTCAGAAGAACTAGCTTCAACTGAAGACCAGCTTTCCAAACATAGAGCAAACCAGTTAAAGTACTTGATGTTACCAGAAATATTCAACTAGCCTCACAAATCTAATCCAATCCAGTGAGATCAATTTTTAATGCAAAGAGCATTGAACAAGTCTCAACTTTAGATTTACCGGGGAAAAAAAAAATGTCTCAACTTTCCAGTTGAAACATAATGGAGCTTTATCTATCTAGAGCGTATAGTGGACTTTGCATAAATTAGCAATCCATTCTGAATATTTCTTTAGGCTGTATTAAGAAAAAGGCCAATCCAGCACAACCCTTAACAAATCAAATTGATATATCTCCGCAAATCATTTAATAATTGAGACAACTAATTTTATGTCATGAATTGTCGCTCTCACTCTTAAGTCTGTCCTCTGTGCGTGTCTGCACGATGGCTAGTTGCAAGGATATTCACATCAAGGATACAAACATATATTGAGCAAACTTTACTAACCCCATCTCAGTTTGTTTTATCTTCTGATTCTTGTAGGACATCTTTGTTGCTGGAACTGATACCACTTCCAGAGTCCTAGAATGGGCAATGACAGAGCTATTAAGACACCCGAGAGTCATTAATAATGTGCAAAATGAAGTCAGAGAAATTCTTATAGGCAAACCACACATAACAGCAGATGATCTGGAGGAAATGCACTGCCTTAAAGCAGTGGTCAAAGAAACTGTTCGTTTGCATCCTCCTATCGCATTACACGGACATGAAGTGAGCGAAGATGTCAGAGTAATGGGCTATGACATTCCAGCCAGAACAATGGTTATTATCAATGCTTGGGCAATCGGAAAGGACCCCATGTCATGGATTGAACCTGAAGAGTTTCAGCCTGAGTGGTTCTTGAATTCTTCTATAGATTTCAGAGGCATGACTTTGAATTGATTCCATTTGGAGCTGGCAGGAGGGGCTTCCCAGGGACCTCCTTCGCAATGGCCACCAATGAGTTTGTGTTATCAAATCTCATGCACAAGTTCATTTGGGCATTGCCTGGTGGAGCCAAGGTAGAACATCTGGACTTGACTGAATGCTGTGGTGTTACAATCCGCAGAGGAATACCTCTCCTTGCTGTTGCAACTCCATTTTCTTGCTAGTGTAATCTGTGACATTGCCATGTTTGTTGCATGTTTCCTGTTTTCGAGAATAAAACATTTTTAGAAAGAGATTGTGTAAATATAGACCAAGTACAATTAGCTTAAAGCATTATTGGATTGTGAATTAGATAATATTAACTGAAACCCTAAAAAAAAAAACTTTTGACTTATCACATTTGTTTGTGTTACACCCATCTTGTCTAATATGATGGAGGAATGTTGGAATGTTGGAATGTAATTTTTCCAGTTAATGATATAATATTTACAGCTCAATCAACACAGGTGACAAATGAAACATCATCACTGTTAGAAAGAGCTTAATGGATCCAAGTGACTGTAGTAATTTGGAATTTGAAATTCATGTTAATCAAATCACCTACAATACCAGATCACTGGAACTAAAATGTTCTGTGCGTAAAATGTGGATGGCAAGCGACCCCTCCTGGCCAATATGGTAACTCACCTCCATCTGGTTCTTTCGACCCATAGAAATGATAACGAAAATCTGCGCAGATATCTCAAATCATATACATATTAGATCTGTAGTAACAAGAGATCAAAGGGTTTATACCATGACCATAAAGTACATGTTCTGGTGGTACAGACATAGTATAGCTTCCCCTTATTGTTATTATGGTTGGACTTTGTTACTTTGATAGAAGCTATTTTCCCACAACCACAAATTATATTCTTATACCTCAAATCTTCACCATCGTTAGATTGTGTAGTTGAAGTAGACATTTTCGATTTCAATTTACAACTGTAAACAAAAAGTCATTACCAGTGACATCAGCCAAGAACGCAGATACATAAAAAAATTTGTGCGGAAGCAATTTCAGTGATGAGAATGACATATGCATAACAGTAATCACTGAGTTTTTACTTGATTAGGCTGCGAAGCAATTTCCAGTTGCTAGGGTTTCGGATTGACCATCATGAGGAAGAAGAAGATTGCCTGCCACAACTTGCTAGGGTTTCGAATTGAAGCTTTGAGGAAGAAGAAGATGACCGTTGTGACTTGTGCAAATGTAATGGATGGGAGCGCGATTCGGGTCGGGTAATGTTGGGAAATTTGAAGATAGCTCTTTTGCCATGACATCAATCTTGGTGGTGTGATTTGAGAGAGCATAGAATATCGGGGGTACCTGCATACTCAACTAATTCACAAAACGCTAATTCTCAATTTGTTTAATATTTGTCTATTAAATTGGGTACAGGGTATTTTAGATTTTTTTCGTGATTTGATAGCAAATTAGAGAGACAATGATTTTTTTTTTTTAAAGAGTATTGAGATTTCAAATAAAAAAATAAAAATAAAAAGTTCCACTTCAACAAAAAAGATATTACAAATATGACAAATTTACAATTAGAAATTACACATTTGACAAATACCAAATATAAATTAGGCAAAAGTGCAAAATACCAGATGAAGTTTAAACAAACGAGAAAGATACTCCCTGAATTGAAAAAGTAAGCAACTTAGTTATACTTGTTCTGAAAATTAAGCATATTGCCCCCTACAGGCGCCGAATTACTCTTTCCGGTGATTTGTATAAGTGCAATTACATATGAAAATGCAAAATGTGGTATATACCTCTTAGTAGTTGTAAAGGCATGTGTTGACTAAGCGTTGGTTAGTTACATTAGTTTGGGATTAGAGATTAAGTTTTCACTCCAATTTGTTTTACAAATATAACCTTATTAGACCATGGCACCTCATTAAAATTAGGTATATTAATGTAATTTTCAATAAAACCCCAAACCCACATTCTCTCTCCATCATACTATCTCTCTAAATCAGTATTCTCTCTCTATATTCTCACAAAACTCCATTGTCATTGTTAGAGCACCACCGTTGTCGTCGACCATGGCGCTGTGAACTTGTTACCATGATCCATATCATCGCGGTTGTCGTCAACCATGGTGCCTTGAATTTGACGCCGTGAATCACGCTATTGGCAAACAGCTGCTGCCACACCACTGCCATTCTCTAACTGTAATACCCCTAATTTTAGAAATGATAGTCTTGGTATTTTAATTAATGATTTTTTATTTTATTGCATTTTTATTTAATTAGGTGCTTATTTGCTTAATTGGTTAATTGTGCATTTGTTTAAATTAATTGTTTAATTGTTTATTTGTTTTAAATTAATTGTTTAATTGTTATTTAATTTAATTATTTGATTATTGGGGATATAATTAACGTGTAATATTTAGTAGCTTATATAATTTATTTGTTTAATTCTGTGTATGCTTAGGTGGACTAAATTGGTTAGTAATTTATATGTGTTGTATGTAGTAGGGTTTTATTTTTATATAATTATAGTCGCCGACTTGTAATTCATTTGGGGTTTAGAATTAGGGTTTAATGGAAGCTTATACATATATAATGTATAATCCGACTTAGGGTTTAGCCGTATATATATATTCTTGGTTATGTCTGCTAGGGTTGAAGAACCCTATTCATGTACTGTGAGGCAGAGAGATACAGAGAAGGATTTGGGAGGAAAAGAGAGAGAAACTTGAGAGGAAGCAGAGAGGCTCAAGGAATAAGGAAAAGGGAGTTGCTCGTGGGTGGAACCAAGAGGCAACAGAGGAGGAGAACAGTGAATAGAGGTGGAGAACAGTCTTAGGATTCGCCGGAATTCAGAGACAGTGGTTTAAGGTTTCAAAACTGAAACAGAATGCAAGTTTTATTCTAACTCATTCCCTTAAACCTGTGTTCTGTGCATGCTATATAGTCTCCAGGAATTAATTCAAACTTTAAAATGGATATTTGATGCATGTTATATCAGTCTGTAACTGTTTGTATATTTTATTTAACAAAGATCGATTTTCTTGCATAAACTGTTTCAATTATGGTTTAAATTTTTGTCAAGCGATTCGTATTGGAATTTGAGGAGTCTCTAGGACTTTTAGGACTTAAATTGGATCCTACAAACTTTTAAAAAATTGGGACAGAGGACATACACTTCGCCGGAAGCGAAGAAGAAGAACAGAGGAGGCAGATCACGGCTCTCAGGGAGAGAGCCGACTCCCTAATGGAGGGAGTCGGCTCCCTAGGTGAGAGAGCCGTCTCTCCATGAGGGAGAGCCAGCTCCAAGAGGGTGAGAGCCGGCTCCCATGAAGGGGGAGCCGGCTCCCTTATTGGTGCACCTCTACGGGGTGTTTTTCTGAGGTTTTTGGTTCCAGGGGCTTAAAGGTAATTTCTGGAAATTGATGGGAGGTTTTAAATGTTTAAAATTAACTTGTTAAAACCTTAAAACAGTTAATATATGCTAGTGTGCTAATATTAAGGGATATCATGAAATATATAAAAAAAAATTAATATGCATGTTGTCAAGGAATGAGGAAGATGTAAATTGCTAGTTTGTTTTAGTAAATTAAACGGACTGGTATGAAAGTTACTTTTGGGATATTATATAAATGATATATATAATTTAATGATGCCCAGAAATGTTGGTTTAGGTTATGGTTATCGACATCATGAACTTTAGATACTAAATTGCATACTATCAAGAGCTGTAGAAGTTTTAGTTGCTAATTTTGTTTTAGCGAACTAAATGGACTGGTATAAGATTACTTTTGGGGTTTCATATAATGTACTCCATTTAGAATTCTGAGTGTCATTATATCAGGCACAGGATTTATAGTTGAGGATTAAAAGGACGTCATAAAATTTAAATATTAATTGGCATGCCGTCAAGGATTGTGTAGGTTTTAATTGCTAGTTTATTTTAGCAAACGAACTAGACTAGTATGAGAATACTTATGGAATTTCATATAATTTGCTCAGTGTATACTTCTGATTATCATTATATCGTGCTATGGATGTTAATTGATGAACTGTTATAATTCCCGTTCGGTTAATTATATGGATGTGGATAGTTTAAATTGTTTATCATTACTTTAGCAATTTAAAAGGAGGTTCTATGATTATAATCATATACTGGATGCATAATTGGGTCTTGTCTATATTTGATTTCTATTATATTTGGCTCTGTATGTATTTGATGTTTAAATGAGTGTGCATCATTTATGGATCATATGCATTATGTGCACTGGTATGGGACGATGGCATATTAGGGATGAATTAGATCAAAACGCTAATGCCTACCTATTCATACATACGGAATGGATTAATTAAAACAATTAAATCCTACATGGATGCATGTCTTGTCAACTAAAACAGTTGAACGACATATCGGATGTTTGCTTTATTTTTCAGTATTAGAAAGGATATATATATATATATATATATATATATATATATATATATATATATATATATATATATATACTTATGGTATTGTGATATGAGCTTGAGCCTCAAGATCACGGTTATGGTGTGTATTGGTCGTCGTCCTACCATAAGCTTAAGAGTGTACATTAAGGCGAGGGCTAAGTTTTACATTTATAAAAGCCACTACTACTTTTACTAAAAATATAGTTAGGGTGAGTAGGATCGTCCCAAGGGATTGGAGTCGAATTTGGTCGTAGAATTACTATTAGGGGTAGTAGGTCGAGTGATCAAACAAATAGTTGGTTGGTTGATTAAACTAGAGAGCAAATTAAACTAAATAATTGAATGCAATAAATAGTAAGTAAGAGAGAGATCTTGGGGTTTAGAAGTCACCACCAAACAATACTTTTTTACACCCTAAACAAGTGACTAATGAGGGAAATATGTGTGGCAATATTGATGTGTGTGTGTGTTTGGTTGATTCAATTAGCAAGGGTGACCAATTAAGTATATATTGTCTAAGCAACATGTGAAAAACACAATATATCTAACAATTAGGAAAGTCTCAAGGGAGGACCTTGAGCCTAAGAGTAGGAGCTTTCGAACCTCGCTAAATTGTCGAGTCACTGTTTGCAATTCTCTATCTCTATACTCTTTAATTGTGATTATATTGCTAGAATATTTTTTGTGTATTGCATGCTATTTAGTTGGAAACAAATTTTTTAAAATTATAAAACATTGGCCATTGACTCTATTCACCCCCCCCCCCCTCTAGAGTCAATTATTAACTAACAATTGGTATCAGAGCCTAATCTCTAGAAAAAGATTTAACCATCTTAGAGAAAGATCATGGCAAATACAATGTTTCACCAAGAAGGTCAATCTAACAATAGACCTCTATGGTTTGATGGAGATGACTACAATTATTGGAAAATCAAAATGAAAGTATTCCTAAGAGGCATAGACATAGATGTTTGGAAAGCCACCGAACAAGGAGACCATGTTCCAACCAAAGTAGTAAATGGTGAAAATGTTCCAACACCTGATATTGAATGGACCCTTAATGATCGTAGACTTGTACAATGCAATGTCAAAGCCATTACAAATCTTTATTGTGCCTTAAGCAAAGACGAATTCAATAAAATTTCGGATTGTGAAACTGCTAAAGAAATTTGGGATAAACTTGAAGTTATCTATGTAGGTACTAGTCATGTTAAGGAATCCAAAATGAATATGCTTGTACATAAATATGAACTTTTTACCATGAATGGCAAAGAAACTATTAGTGAAATGTACTCTCGTTTTACTAACATTGTGAATCCTTTGAAGGCTCTCGGAAAGTCATACACATCATCCGAGAATGTGAGAAAAATTCTTAGGTCATTGCCTAAGAATTGGGAAGCAAAGAAGACCGCCATCCAAGAGGCCAAGAATCTCAACACTCTTCCCATAGATGAACTCATTGGTTCATTGATGGCATATGAACTTGAAATGAATGATAAAGATGAAGAGAATGAGACTCAAAAGAAGGATATTGCTCTTCAAGCTTCTACCAAAGAAGTCATAATTGATAAGGCTCCAAATGAAGAAGAAGAAGAAATTGTCCTTATTACCAAAACTGTGAGAAGAGTCCTTCAAATGAAGAAGTTTCAAAAGAGTAACAATTTTAAAAGAAGTGGTTCATCTAGTGAACAAGGAAAAAGAGAAGCTCCTACATGCTTTCATTGTGGAAAACCGGGGCATTTCAAATCCGATTGCTACGTCTACAAAAATGAGAAGGAAATGAAAAAGAAAGGCAAATCCATGAGAGCTACATGGGAGGACGATGATTTAAATGGATCCGAAAGTGACGATAAATTCAACGAATTGGTCAATCTTTGTCTCATAGCCGATGAAGATGAGGTAAACTCTAATCATAACTCGTTTGACTTAGAAACTACTTATGATGAATTAGTTGAT